ACCTGGTACACAATGTTTGGCACATAGTAGGTGCTTAATAACGTTTATTGACTATCCTGGTCCACCTTACCTACATGGAGGGTCACAGGCCAGTGCTTGGCCACCTCTTTAGTGCCGAAAATTACAGAATGCTAGAGCAGGAGGGAGACTTTTGAAGTCATCTAGTTCAAGGGTTTTTCAACATTTTCGTGTGTCCTGGACCACCCCCTTTAGTGACATGCTGGGGAACCGCCTTGTCCCCTTCTCGGAATTATGTTCTCAAATTTTAACAATACCTAAGATTACAAAGGGAACCAGAGGTCAGTGAAAATAAAAATGTCCTTTTCACAGACCCCCTGAAATCTCTCCACAGACCAAGGTTAATAGGCCTGTGAATATGTTTCAAGTCCCTCCATGACCAAAATGCCTCTGACCAGTAGTCCTCTGGCCTCTGCCTGACCACCCCCAGTAAATGAGGGGGTCAGTACTTCAGAGGCAGCTCCTTCCATTACTAGATGGCTCTGATTGGTGAGAAGTTCTGCCTTCTATAGAGCCCCAGACCTCTGGAATCCGGACAACAAATTCCAAGATCTCAGAAACCTTTGGGATCAGTAGAGAGGTAGGGAAGATATACTAAGTACGTGCACACTTGCTCCCAGGTCCAGAAATTAGTACGAGACCAAGAAAAGAGAAAGGCAGGGGAAGCTAGGTGTCGCAGCAGTCAGAGCTCTGGCCTTGGAGTCAGGAGGGCCTGAGCTCACATCCAGCCTTAGACACTTGACACTTACAGGGTTGTGTGACCCTGGGCAAGTTACTTAACCTTGATTGCCTCACCAAAAAGCAAAAAAACACAAAACAAAACAAAGAAAGAAAAGTAAAAGGCCCAGGGAGAGGCAGCATAGCTCAATGGAAAAGCCTCTACTAGACTTGACATTCAGGAAGGCTTAAGTTCAAATCCCCACACTCACAAGCTGTGTGATCTTGGCCACCTCTCTGGTCCTCAGTTTCCCCCTGTGTTAAATGAGGGATGGCCTCTACGATTCCTCCAGATCTGAACCCATGAGCCTATGCAGAGAAGTTTCTGGTTCCAACTCACCTTCTAAGTCCTATTTCACAACATGCCCATTCACACCCTTGGCCAAAGAGGTCTCCGGGCCCTTTCCAGATCTTGTCCCACCCCCAGGAAGAAGTCTTTCCTTCCTCCATCTCTCCAGCCACTCTTTCCATACCTCCTAACTTGTATTAGACAGAATTGAAGTCAAGGCTCACCCTAGACTATAGCCTCTTTGGGAAAGGGAATGGTATTATTTTTCATTTTTTTAGACCCAGCCCCAGACATGGTGTCTTTTAATTCTATCTATTTCATAAATATCTGTTTAGTGCCTAAGACTATACAAAGGGAGATAAGACCAGGGCTCATTGATAGAGCAGTGCGGCCTGGCGGAAAGAACACTAGATATGGAGAGAGAAAGCCTCGGTGTGCCCTTTATTAGCCTTGGGACCACGGCAAACTACTTTACTTCTAGGAACCCGCATTTCCTCCTCCGTCACTTGTGAGAATTGGATCAGATGATGCTGATAACAGTAACTAGCACTCATATGATTTTTTTTTTTTTTGCTTTTTGGTGAGGCAATCGGGGTTAAGTGACTTGCCCAGGGTCACACAGCTAGTAAGTGTCAAGTGTCTGAGGTCAAATTTGAACTCAGGTCTTCCTGACTCCAAGGCTAGAGCTCTATCCACTGTGCCACCTAGCTACCCTACTCATATAACATTTTTAAGGTTTGCAAAGCACAGTATAGACACTTTCTTATTTGAGATCCTCACAACAACCCCATGAGAAGTATGATACTATTATCTTCATTTTACAGATGAGAAAACTGAGGTGAACTTGCCCAGGATCACAGAGCTAGCCAGACTGTGAGGCAGAATTTGAACTCAGGTCTTCCTAACAACAAACCCCTAACACTTTAACCCAATGCACCTCCTCATTAACAAGGTCCCTTCCTGTTTTAATAAGCTATCCTCCTATGAATTTACAATCCAATCAGAGGTAAGATAAGCATACAAATAACTATGATACAAGCATAATGCCACGCATACAGTAGGTGCTTACTAATTGTTGGCTTGAAAAGGATTGAAGGGAAAGAAGAGACTTTGAAGCTGGAATTTATTCTAATAGCCAAAGAGAGAGCAGTCATGGGCTTCTGGGGGGTGGGTTCGAAAAGCTGCCTGAATCCCTGATTTCTGTGACAATGAGAAACTCTCCTTAGATCTGTGTTATAAGAACCAAAAGAAGAAAATAAATAGAAAAATAAAAAAGAAGAAGAAGGACCAAACGATGAGGCTACAAACCAGTTCCTAAAAGGAAGCAATTTTCTATTTCAGAAGACAGAGTTGAAACCACCTGAGTTTGCTTGGACAGTATATTAGCACAGGCACTTACCTAGAATCAATGAATCAAGTATTTATTAAGCACCGACTGTGTTCCACTAGATTGTAAGCTCCTTGAGGGCAGGGACTGCCTTTCGCCTCTTTTTTGTATCCCCAGCACTTAGCATAATGCCTGGCACATAGTAGGTGCTTAATAGACGTTGGTTGGTTGATTGACTGCCAGGCCCAGAGGAGAAGGAATTAAAGTTAGAAGTCAATAGAAAAGCTCACCTCCAATTTTGGTGGTTGTTGGGACTTTTTTTTTAATCTTAGTTTTTTTTTAATTAAGTAAAGGAAATGTGATAGCTTAGAAATGAAGATTGGAGACATATTAGGAAAGATGCACACAAGCTGGAGAAAACATGGTAGAAGCCTAGTTAAACCTCAAACCAATCCCAGGCCTGCCTCCTCAGAACTGGCTTGGAACATTGAAGAAAGGTACGCATTAAATCAGAAACAGCGAGTGAAGAGTCAGGAACATTAGACAAGTGACCGCTTATGTTAAGTAAGAAGAGGGGGAAAGGAAGTTAATGACAAAGAGAAATGACAAAGCTCCCCCAGACAAACACAGATTTCTTTTTAAAAGGTCATAAAATCAATATGCTGACCCCTGGCATCAGATCCAAGGTCACAACCAGGATGACCTCACGAAAAGTGGGGCCGGTTGGACTTATCTCATCTCTTTCTACAACAAAGATTTGTCTTTGTCTAAATCTGGCAGGCAGATGTGGGGGGCGCGATAAGGTTTTACCCTGTAATACATTCTTCTGTAAAATAGGAAAATACCCATGGTTATCAAGTGGGTGGAAGGGCACAGCCCTGTGGAGAGGCAGGGAGCTGGGAACAACAGGGTCTGACCTTGGGCCCAAAACTGCTGGGTATTTTCTTCATCCAGTGACCTAGATGATGAAACAGAGTGTGCTCATTAGCTAATTCAGTGTGCGGGTGACACCAGGCCAGGGGAGGCGACCAACACCTCCAAACACAAGTGCCACTGTTCCATTTTGGTAAACCGGAGAAATGGTCAGACAAGACCAGAATGAATGAGTTTGCTGAAGCCAGACGCAGAGCATTCTAAGCAGACAGAACGTCCAAGCGCAGGCTAGGAAAGGAGTGGCTTCTTCACAGCACAACGGGACGGGCTCGAGACAACAGCGGGATGGCAAGTGTACAGATTGGGGTGGCTCTCCCTGTATAGGTTAACTTGAAATTGAGAGGCAGGGAAGGGCAGTGGCAAGAGCAGTTATCGGCTCTGGAGTTAAAGCACCTGGGTTAGAACCCTGGCGTGGCCCCCCAGGATCTGGGGTACTGACAAGCAACCAATAAGTCACTTCTCTCTAGGCCTCACCTTCCTCCGGGGTTAATCTAAGTGACCCCAAAGGCCCCAACCAGCTCTTAATCCTATGATCTGAGACACTTCCTAACAGGGCACTGGGAGGGAAAATTATGATCCCCAAAACTCCTTTAGTCCTGATTTGTAGGAAGCATGAAAATATTTCCCTTTGTCAGCTTTCTCTTTTGTTTTGAAAGAGGAAAGGAGGGAGGGAAAGAGGGAGGGAGGGAGGGAGGGAGGAAGGAAGGAAGGAAGGAAGAAAGGAAGGAAGGAATGAAAGAAGGAAGGAAGGGAGGGAGGGAGGGAAGGAGGAAGGAAGGAAAGGAGGGAGAAAGGAGGGAAGGAGGAATAAAGGGAAAAAAGGAGGAGAAAAAGGAAGGAAAGGAGAGAGGAAGAGAAGGAGGGGGAGAAGGGATGGAGGAAGAATGGAGGGAAGGAAAGAAGGAAGGAAGAAAGGGATGGAGGGAGGGATGGAGGATGGAAGGGAAGGAAGAAGAAAGGGAGGAAAAGAGGAGGAAAAGAGGGAAGGAAGAACAAAGGAAGGGAGGAAGGGAGGGAGGGAAAGAAGGAGGAAGGAAATCTCCAAGCTTTTGAACATAAAATCAAACAAACATGCCTCTTTCAGTTAAAAGCTGAACCTTATCCACCAAGGCTATAATCCCTCACTCTGGAGAGACTGAGTCACTTGTCTCTAGCTGGCATTTCTACTACATTTCCAGAGTCTTATGAGTTTTCTAAATGAAGCTACACAACCTTCCAGAAAGACAGGCATTAACCCCTTGGGGGAAGCATGCTGCTCAGGGCGTGAGTGGGGAAATTAGAAGAGCAAGCTCAGGAATCTCAATTATTGCCACAACCACTTAGCCTCACAAGTCTGCTACCGAGCCCAAGGGAAGCAAACGACCTCTTTTTGTGAGGCCCTGACACAAAAAGGTATTTAACACTTGGTCTTGGTATAACAGTATGAGAGATTTCTCATACTCCAGAGATCTCATGGGATTTCTAGCTGGGAAAAATCTTAGAAAACATTTTGTCCAAACCCCTTATTCTACAAAGAAGGAAAATGAGGCCCAGAGGTGAGGAAATGACTCGTCCAAGGTCACACAGTAAGTAGCCAGTTTAAACCGAGGTCCCCTGACTCCAAACCCAGAGCTTGTTCTCTGGAGTAAAGCGACGTCCCGCCTCCAGTTGGGACAGACTCCCCGGCCCCATCTTCAGTCTCTCCTGCGGGTGTCCGTCGATGGCAAGAGCCAGTACCTGAGCTTGCAGCTGTGTGGACACAGTTTGCTGGTCGTTCTCCCGAAGGGTCAGCTTTCTCTGCAACGCCATTAACTGCTCCTGCAGTCGGCCCTTCTCTTCCTGGAGCTGGGCCATGGACTCCACCATCTTCTGGATCATGGGTAACTGGCGGGCCCCAGGTAGGCCTGAGCACTTCCCACCGCCAAAGAGCCTCCCACCTGTAACCAAAAGGAGCATCAGCGGGGGGCCCCGCACCCCGCAGGGCTCCCCGGGGCAGGCAAAGGGCAAGGGTGGCCGGGCCAGTGGCAGGGGGGTTCAGCGTCACCACAAGCTTTCCTAAGCAGCTCAAGTGACTGGTCATGAGATCGATGGAAACAGAAATGAGGACGTCAGTGGAGAGACCCAACGGGGAGCCAGGACGCCTGCCCCGGGAAGCAATTCAGAATGGAAGCCACGCAACAGACAGCAGCTCCAGATGGACTCAGGGAGAGAGCGTGGGAGCCAGGGTGGGGAACCTGCCTGAAAGACTACTTTAGTGGACAGCTTGAGGCGCTCCTGTCCCCTGGTTCAGTGTGACGAGGGGCACGAGGTGGAAGCAGAAGGAAGCAGCGCCTCGGTGATTCTCTCAATAGCGGAGATGTACTAAAATGTTTCCTAGAAGGGACCTCAGAGAGCATCTCGTCATTTTACATCTAGCAACCCTGCCATTTTACAGATGAAGAAACTGAGGCTCAGACAGAGAAAATGGATTGCCCAAAATCTCACTGTAAATCAGTGCCAGAGACAAGACTCAAGCCTGTCATTCTGAGCGCCCAGCCCGGTACCCTCTTCACTCTCTGCACCTTTTCTTCACGTAAGAAATGTCGGTATTGTACTCTGAGCTTTTTAGGAGCTGGTTATTTTCCTAAGAATGGGCACGCTGATGCCCCTTTATCACTGTGTGGGAGTGCAGATGTTCAAGCCTCAAAAAAGATTCTTCTTGGTGACCGAAAAACCCTTGCCAAAACACCTCAGAGAGGAAGGAAAGCCCAAACGTTCCTGGCAACAGAAGCGAGCCAGGCTCAGCCGCATTTATGGAGCCCTAAGGGAAGTGGCAACCTGCATGGGAGGGGATGAGGTGGAAGTGGGTGTGTATGCCATGTATGCCAGTATACCGCAGCAACAAAGAGGAAGAAAGACAGAATGATAGGTTGAGACACAGTATGCCAGGCTTGAAACAGCCACACCCTCCCCATGATGCTCACTCCCCACACACCAGAGCCCAGTGGAATGCACAGAGTGACCACACAAGCATGTGAAGGTTATAAATACCGAGCTGCCCCAGTGCCTCAGGCCGAGGAGGAGATCCTCTCCCACTGCCTCCCGCATTCCTGTCACCAGGAGCAAGAAAAGAGAAAGAAAGACAGACAGACAGACACAGAGACAAGGCCCGTGATACGTCCATATGATTTGGGATTTCCTCCCTCCCCTCCTCCCACCACCCAAATAAGTCCAACTGGTACTAAGGTACACTGAGAATGGTGAAAGAGAGCCCCTCTGCCCCAGGATCAGCAGCAAATGGGACAGCTGAGCGTGGCAGATGCAAAGAGATAGGGAATGTGAGAACAAGGCTGTCACTTTCCACAGAGGTCTGCAACCTAAGACAGAGGCAGCCAAAACCCAAGAATGCAATAATGAAGTGTCAAAGAGAAGCGACTTAGGGCTGAGAGAAGCCCTTCCCCATCTCTGACCTCCATGGGCAGCCCTCCCTCCTTCCTCCTCCTCCTCCTCCTCCTTGGGTTCACTTGGATCTATAAGCTGGCAAAGGGTGGTTCCAGGCTGTTGTGAACAAAGTCATTCCTCTATAGAAACTACAAACCGAATGTTAGCTTCCATATCATTGCTGAAAAGCCTCAGCTTAGAGAAGAAGGGAAGGAGGGCAGATTGCTCTTGGAGGAGAAATAAAGGCAAGGAGGAAGTTTTCAGGAAAACATATCATAAACTCAAAAGGACTGAGTCCATAGAAAAGGAGAGACAGAGAGAGAGACAGAGACAGAGAGAAATGATAGAAAGACATAGATTATAAAAAGAGATAAATGGGATAGATGATAGATAGTACAGAGAAATAGAAAGGTAGAGGAAGATAGATCAATAGATTAATAGATGAAAGATGAAAGAGATAGATGATAGAAAGACAGATATAGAAAGGGACAGATATAGATATGAGATATGATAGAGGACAAACTGATAGATATAGATATGAGACATACATAGATAGACAGATAGATAGATAGATAGATAGATAGATAGATAGATAGATAGATAGATAGATAGATAGATAGATAGATGGATAGATAAAACATCAATTAAGCACTTATTTGTGCTAGGCACTGTGCTAAGCTCTCAGAGAAAAATCAAGCTCGGCCATTCCTACCCTCAAGGAGCTTACATTCTAATGGGGGTAGACCACACATAAGGGAAGAATGGTAAGGGGGCAGAGGGCACTCAGGCAGGGCCATGTCGAGGACACCGTGGGAAATCGTGTGGAGGCCTGGGCCCTGGCAAGGTAAGGCAAGCAGAAGAAGAGGGTGGGGGCCAAGCCCTTTGTGAAAACATTGCCCAGTTTTAATTCTCTGTAGCAGTATTTCCCTCACACCAAACCTTGGTGAAAGTTAAGACCTCATTCCCACCTGAAGGCAGAGATGAGGCTACAATTTGAACACTTGTTTTTTCTCCTTCAGAAGAGGGTCTGCCCACTGTTGCAATGTGCTTCCCTCCAGCAATCATTCCCTGGATGGCAGGACGAAGTGGTCAATGTAACCACTTGGTTCCTGCTAAGTGAACTTGGCTGGGAGTTTCTGACTGTCTCACGCATGTAGAGAGTTCACAGACCAAACTCCTTCTATCTGTCCTCAAGAGAGGAGGTTAGAAGAAATGATGGTCTGGAACCTCCGTGCTAAGCTCCATCCAAGGGAACCATTTCTAAGCTCCAGAGGACCCAGGGGACCTAAACTCCCCTACCCAGAACTTTGCCCGGGACTTCTGCTACATGAACGTTGCACGAGATGTCGAAACTTCCTACAGATCATGAAACTGGGGCTTGGCATCAAGGACAGATCATTCCACAGCCATTCTAGGCCCAAGCTCTTCCTATTTTGTTCTAAGGGTTTGGTTTGGCCTCTATATACTACGCCTGGCCAGCTGTTTGGCAAGGGGGTGAGGAAATGGCAGAGTCAGCCAGGGACAGCAGCAGCAGCAGAAGCAAAAACAATCTTGAGAGCACTTGCAAGCATAAGAGGGTTTTAAGGGGCAGATGAGCAAAGCTTTAGCAATGAGGAAGATCATGAGATCAGACCCGGTCCAGGATAAAAAGCAGAAGGGAAGAAGGCCAGAGGAGCACATAGTGGACAAACGGCTAGGTCCTATCCCTTCACAGAAGCCTCCCTCCCATCAGAGACCGGATTCAGGAGCTGCCTTGCCGGCCTCTGGTCTCTAAGTAAGGTCTGCTTGATGGGGCACCCCAGGCTGCAGCCCCCAGTCCAGGCTGTCATTTCCTTATTCCCCCACTAATTTGCTTTTTTTTTCTTTCTTCATCCAGATCTCCCTCCTCTCCTAAAGCCCTGACTCTTTCTGTTACCACCTCCAGCTCCTCCCCCAGCCCGCAAAACACCCCAAGTCAGCAATCACAGGAGAAGCACAGCTCAGAGGAGGCCGATAGAGCGAGAGGGGAATGTGAGCCATCTCAGAACCTGGGGAGTGGTTCCAGGCACGGTCCCTGGGCAAGTTCAGACACACAGTTAACTTTGGCAGAAAGGAGAAAGGAAGCAATCCACAGAGCCCTGACTTTCCTTTTTGAATACTTTCTGCCCAGCTTCCTCTCTTGGGGAGGATGCTCCCTCATATGCAAATACCCTGGGCTCCCTACATTCCCCTTCTCTGCCCTGAGAGAAGAAGCCAACAGAAGAAAGCGCAGCCAGGGAGGACCTCTCCAAAAAGGGGAGGGGGACATAGACCCTTCTCTCCACTCACAAGGCAGCAAACAAGTCACGGGATCATTGATTTAAGGCCGGAAGGGACCTCAGACACCATGCCAACCCAACCCTCTCATTTTTACAGATGGAGAAAATGAATCCCCTCTCCAGAAGGTGAGTGACTTGCCTAAGGTCACGCAGCTAATAAATAATATAGCCAGGATTTGAACACAAAGCCTCAGATTCTAGACCCTGCATTCCTTCTACGCCAATAGGCTTTGTCTCTTTTGCCTGACTGGCCCAGAGATCTTTCACAAAGTGCTAGAGATCAGAGGAGGGGGATGAGGTACCTTTCCACAAGCAAGAAACTGTATCTTTGGGGCTACCATTCTTTCCTCCTGCCTACAAGAACCCAAGGCAAGACAAAAAGCGCTGAAACTCAACCCCAGGACTCAGTCACTGAAGCCGGAGATCACCTGGTTACAGGTGGGGAAGGAGAGTGGGTGGGGGCAGGGAGCGAAAGGTTACATAGCCCAGGCAAAGAGTTTCTGAAAAGTGAGGGACCAGGAGCATTCGACTTAGAAGGAAGGGATTAATTAGATATGTCAGGAGTTTCGGCTAACGGCTGACCTGGATTTTTTGGGGCATGCACAGCTGGTCACAAAAATCCAGATGAAACGTAACCCAGGCCTGGACTGTGTAAAGACGGGGAAAGGAGCAGACTTCAGGGCTGATCATAGCATGACCTCCCTGCTCCCCACGGGTTGCCGAGCCAGCTACTGGCTGCTTTCGGAGCTGCCCCTGCCTCGCGGCTATTCTCTGGCCCCTTCCACTATTTACCTGGTTTCTCAACATTCATGGTGTGGGCTTCCTTTGCCTGGGCCAAGTCTTGGGCCCGCTTGGGGGCCAGTGCCGGCCTCTTCCGCTGCTTCTCCTCCTTCTTCTCCTGACTCTTGCATGCACACACCTTGTCCTGCAGTGCCTGTGGCCAAGACACAACCACAACTCCTGTAAAGGACATTGCAACACCGGGAACAGAGATGCCGCAGCCTGGTGTCCTCAATGCCAAAGGGAGAAGGAGGAGGAGGAGGAGGAGGAGGAGGAGGAACCTCAGGGTCATCGAGAACCCCCAGCTCCAGTCACCCAGTAAGATGGTCAGGTGTCTGAAAATTCTCAGGTTACCCAACACCTCACAGCAAGCATCTGCCCCGACCAACTCCCTCATCTTGACACAAGAGGGCGCGGACAAGAGCCCCCGAGGACGAGGACGGGCAGGTATGGAGAGGGCGCAGCTTTATTTGGGAGGTCAACGCCCACTGAAGTACTACTGAAACTTGGGAAGGAACTTCAGAGGTCACTGTGTCCAGCCCCTTCATTCTGCAAATGAGGAAACTGAGGAAATGGTGACTGCCTAGGGTTACCAAGCGAGTAAGGGTCTGAAATCGGACTAGAATTCTTGTTCGCTGTTCAGTAGCTTTTCAGTCCTGTCCGATTCGCCATGACTCCATTTGGGGTTTTCTTGGCAAAGATGCTGGAGTGGTTTGCGTTTCCTTCTCCAGATCATTTTACAGATGAGGAAACTGAGGCAAACAGGGCTAAGTGATTTGCCCAGGGTCACACAACTATGCAGTGTCTGAGGCCAGATCCGAACTCAGGAAGTTGAGTCTTCCTGACTCCAAGCCCATCACTCTGTGCATCATGGTGCCCCCTAACTGCCCTAAAAAACAGAATCTGAACCCAAGTCCTCTTGACTCCAAGTTCAGTACCTCTCCACTAAGCCATGTCTACTTGCAGTATCTGCTTGGAGCTCATGATAGCCCTATGACTAAGGCTCTTTAGATAATCTTATCTCCATTTTATGGATAATTTGCATGAAGTCTGAAAGGTTAATTTACTTTCTCTGGGTCTCACAGCTAGTTAAGTATCAGAAGTGGGATTTGAAACAAGGCCTTCCTGTCTCCACGTCTCACACCACATGTACTGCACGTGGCTTCTTTTTACAGAGAAAGGAAGGTCAGTCACATTAGTAGGATGTGATAGGGGCAGGCCGGCTGATGTCTTTCCACCTAACAATGCTCCCCTGGGTTCTTTCGGCTCTCTCTGAAGACCCCTTGTAACTTAGGTCTTTCTGTGTAAGGCCTGTAATCTCAGCGTGATGCTCCCAAGACTGCCGAGAGATCAGGCAAATGCCATGGCCAGGTGACAGGACCCTGACTTGTCAAAGCCACTTTGGAAAGGCAGCCACTGTGAAGGATACCAACAGAAGGAGGGATAGAAGGAAAAAAGGGGGGAGAAAAAGATGGTGAGCTGCAGTGGACAGTGGGGATTCCCTCATGACAGGATATTTTCCTGTCCAGAAACAGGCAAATGTGGAGAATGGGGGCGTGGTGAAGATAAAAAGGAAAGAACAACTTGAAAAAGACAAGCTTGGGCATGAAATAGTCTGTACTTGGAAAAATGATGGTTCTCTATTAATGTTTAATAATTATGCAGCACTTCAAAGTTTGGAAAGCACCTCATAGAGTTTATCTCATTTGTTATTATTACTCCTATTTTACAGATGAGGAAACTGAAGCAAACAGAACTTAAGTGACTTGCCCAGGGTCACACAGCTAGGAAGTATCTGAGGTAGGATTCAAACTCAGGTCTTCCTGCCTCCAGGGCCAGCACTGTACCCACTGTGCCACCTGGCAAGCTCCAGGACTGTTCGGTCCCAGAAAAAGTTAAGTTATTCCTAGTGGCTGAAGGCGACGGGCAGGAAGGTCTTCTGAAGTTGATTTCTGCTACCTTGAGTCTGCCAGAACAACAGCTATTCACCCTCTTGTCTCAGACTCCCCAAGAAAGACTAGGCTCTCACAGGAAGGCACTTCTGATCTGAATGCACCCCCCAGTCCTTGGCAACCTGGCCAACTTCTCCTCCTCTTATGCTGAGGAAGGTAATGAGCCTTGGTTCTCCAGCTGGGCCTCTCATCCACGATCTCAAAGCACGAGGAAACATAAGAAATTTTCCCAAGAGCTGGAGAGGAAGTGGATTTTTCCAGACCCACTTTGTATCAGGAGAGAGGCCCAGAGGTTAAAAGCTCAGAATTACCCAAGCAACTCAGAAATGGAAATTGGAAACAGATTTTGCTGACTTCCAAGTATTCCCTTCCAACCACAACACAGCCTTCTCTGTAATCAAAATTCAAGAAAACAACCGTCCCAGAACTGCAAGGCTAGAGGAAGGCGGTTAGCAGGCAGCTCCTGGCCCTCCAGCACCCTCCTTCCCTGCAGCAACTCCAGGCAGGAGCAGCAAAAGCCTTTTCCTAACCTTGTGACTGCTTGCCCAGACCAGTCTTTCCTCAGACATTACATAAAACAGCACGGGGTGGTTGTTGTCACTGTCCCTGTTGTTTCCCTACACAAGAATAACCCCACACACCTTTAGCCCCAAAGGATTTCAAAGAAGAGACACTGAGGTGCAAAAACTACTTAAACAAACTTCAGAAATGATACCTTGGAGCCAACAGGAGCTTGCTACCCTCAGTGACCTACTCAGTACTCACAGTGGAAATGAGGAAACTGTGCATCACTCCTGGGCTCATACCCCCATCTAGTTTATCATTATTATTATTATTATTATTATTATTATTGATGATGATGATGATGGCTAGCATTTACGTAGCATTTTAAGGTTTGCCAAGGGCTTTACAAATATCACCTCATTTATCATTACTGCCAGCCTCTGAGATAAGACGCTATTCTCATGCCCATTTTACAGATGAGAAAACTGAAAGTGGTTAAGGGACTTGCCCAGGATCATAGCAATGATAACAGCTCACACTTACAGAGTGCATTAAGGCTTGCAAAGTACTTTGAAATATATGTGTATATATATATATATATTATTATTATTATTATTATTACAGTAACTATATTATTTTCACTTGAGATCCTCACAACAGTCTTGTGAGGCTGGGGGATGAGGAGATAGGAGAGATGCTATTATTTTTGCCATTTTATAGATGAATAAACTGAAGCAGAGAGAGGGTAATCATGAGGTCATGGAAGCTGTTGAAGCAGGATTCAAACTCCTGCCTCTGGGTCCCAGCACTCAAGCACAGGGTAACAGAAGTCTTTGCATTGATTTTATGCACACAAGGCAGCCTCCCTGTGTATTTAAACCAGTTAGGGAGATAAAGGGATAGGATCAGAAGGGGCCTTAGGCATCCCCCAGTCCAAAGCCTTCATTTTATAGAGGAGGAAACCAATCACAGGGCTAGCAGGTGGCAGGGCCAGGGACTCTAGACTCCCATTACCAATAATAACGAGCATTTATACTGCATCTTAAGTTTGCAAAATTCTTTGCCAATATTACCTCATTTAATCCTTGCAACAAGCCAGTCAGGTAGGTAGGTGCACTTATTTTCCCCATATAACAGATGATAATAATCACAATAAATAGTTAATATTTATATAGCACTTATTTCAATCAAATTTTTACACGTGGGGAAACCAAGGCTGAAGGTGAAGGGACTTGCCAGGTCACACATCTAGGAAGTAGCTGAGGCTGGATTCAAACTCAGCTCTTCCCAATTCCCAAGTCCAGCACTCTCTTCACTGAACCATGACAAACACACTGACTCCCACAGCAAATCTCCATGCCTTCAAGGGAAGGGAACCCAAAGAAGGCCACTACCAGATCCGCCATCTTCTCTCAGGAAGAGGTGAGAATTGGTGAGAATTCTCAAGGGCTTATAGCACACGAAATCCTTTTCTACCTCTTTTTGCAGCATTTTATGCAAGTTTTGGAAATGAATTAAAAACCATGGAAGGGTGTATGAATGAACCTCAATGCGACTGGCGAGGTTGCCCAATGCTACCTATCCTCCCTGAGGTGTGCCTATGGAACTCAGCAGAACTGACAGACAGTCCCATTTTATTGCGTTCAACACCTTTGTCAGGGAGAGGTGGAGAACCTTCTGTCATCTCTTGTTAGATCTTTTTAAGATAACTTAATAAGGCAAATTGCTTCACCAGTGCAGCCTCCCAGGGAGGATGTGTGCTAAGGATTCTGGCAGGAAGACAGATCTCACTCTCTCCCCTGATAACCCTTTCCCCTGAAATGTTTACAGCAGACAGAGCCCAGCTTGCCAGGAGAACGGCCATCCTCCTCCCCCTTTCCTCCGAAGACCTGAGGATTTCATCTCCCTCACAGGTGAATCCTTACCTGGACAGTCAGGTAGAGTCTCCGAGGACTCCCAGGACCAGACCAGTCCACGCTGAGGGCTTGGCGCTGAGCTAGGGTCGGTTGGGTAGAGGTCTGACCTGAATCCTCTTCTCCGCCACCAAGGGTATCCTTACTGAGCCCTTCCAGAAAATAAAACTCAGGTTAAAGAGATTTCACCAATCAATCAATTCGCAGTATTTTAAAGTGCCTACTCTGTGCTAGGCACCGAGTGTCTAAGTACAAAGAAGGAAACAGACCCTGTGAATGACCTCCTTCCGAATGCAGAAGCTGACACGGAATGTAACCTTGATGTCATGCCCCATACCCTGGTTCCCAGCCCCACCACCAGCCAGGTGACAAGGCTCAGTCATTGATCTTATGTGGCTACAGGGATAAGTGGCCCAGAATAAGAACTGACTGAAGATAAAGGAATGATTCTCTTTTTGGAAAACATTCTCAGCAGGCCATGGCTTTTTCCTCGGTGCCATGATTTCCTGGAGCTTGGCTATTCCCTTTGTGGGCTTTCTAGCCATTTCCCTACCTCCCCTTCTCGCTTTCTTATATTCAGCCCGGTTTAGTTGCTTGTTAGGACCCTAGAGAGGGAGAAAGAGGATAGGGCAATACCAGGCCCCTTCTGCCACTGGTTAGCAGGTCTATTCAAAGGGAGAGGTTAAAACTCCTGGGTAAGTTGATTCACTGTGGGTTTTAGTTTCAATTATCTCAGCTACCCTCACCCCCTAAGTGTGCTACTGATAACACTGAGCTGAACAACTCTCAGATGGAAATTTCACGCCTGATTCCTAAGACCTCTCTGGACACTCATTAAAACAAATGCTTGCTGTGAAGCTTCAGTCTCAGCTGTCTTTAAAAAAAAAAAGCCCTCCCTAATAGTCTAAAAAAAGACTTCACATGCTTTTTCAAGTCTCACCTCTTTGTTCCCTTGGCCTAAGATTTGCTGAGAAGGGGCTGTCTCCTTGCAATGAGAGAGCTGGATGGCACAACTATGCCTTCTAACCCAAGAAACACCGTCCTGTTCTAGTTCAGCCCATAGGAGGTCTGGCCTAGCCCTGGGGTGATCAAATGGGGTAATATACGTCAGGTGCATTTCGAATTGTAAAGCACAGTATAAAATACAAGAAGTCATCATCATCATCACTAATTTTTTTCCTAGGTTCAAAGGAGACCAGGTCAATTTCCAGGCCACACTAGGGATTGGAGCTAGCCCTAAAGCAGATAAAACCAATGATCTCTTAATTAGTCAATCTGATGGCCTTTTCTGAGTCCTCATCCTGTCTTAATCCTGTCTCCCCAGAGTGCACAATAACATTCTATGTTGCCCCATAGTGAATGGGGACCTCCTTCTTGGGAAGTCTCATCTCTGGGATCTGAAGGAAAATGGAAACAGATACGGAGGAGCTAGCCTTTGAGGTATCTAGCATTCAAGGAAACCTCCCAAGGAGCCTTTCTTTAGCCAGCTGACTGGCAATGTCAAGGACCACCCTCATGATGCCCACTTTCACTTACGATGTGTGAAACAAAAGGGTTGATTCCCAACCACCCAAACGACAACAACAAGGCACCAAAAAGCCTTTCCTTCTCCTTTGCTCCGCGGCCAAAAATAAATAAATACACTGAGAGTAAGGAGGGTTACCTAAGCGGGGCAGGAGAGCGGAGTCACGTGTAGCTGCTGATTCCAGACAATACTGCCTTTAAAACTGCACCAGACTATTTAGCTCACATCTCGATAGCCCTTAGTCAAGTCCCCCAACATCGGTGAAAGGAGAACAAGGAGGCTGCTCAAAGAGCTGCCCGATGAGTCTGAAGCTCCGGCAGCAGACTAGGTGAGTCACACTGGGACTTCCCCGTTGCCCGTCCCTTCGCGCTCCTTCCCGGGAAATCCATTCCGGTGCCTGGAACTAAGTACCCTGGAGAGAGCTGAGCACGGAAACCCCCTGGAGACCCCCAAACAACCGCGGGATGCCCTGGACCGATCCCCAAACACGACCTACAGAGCTCCGAGCAGAATCAAACGTCACCAGCCTGCGAAGAAAACATGAGGCAGACACTTCACTTACCTTGTTTACGAGTCGGAGGGAGAAGGAAAGCTGCAAAACCGAGAGCTTCCAGGTAACAGACAAAGGGGAACCAATCTAGAGCCACCTGAGCAGCGCAGACATCACACCTTTTCTGTTCTTTTCCTTTTTTTTTTTCCTCGCTATAGATTGTTAAAGTTTAACTTTCCTTTCAAGACTTTGCTTTGCAGTCAGAAAAAGAAAGGAGGACACCCAGTTTCCCGGGGAGCCTCGGCTAGAGCTTCTGGGCAGCCAGTTGGTTACCCTGTAATTACCTGCCTGCTTATGACTGGGTTTAGGATTCAGTGGGAGACTTTAGTCTCATCTCTGGTATCTAGAGGAAAAAAAAAAAAAACATTTTAAAAATGCGGACTCACCAGTTCTCCACCTCCCCTGGCTGGCGTGTGGGAAAGGGCGGGAGCACGGAGAGGCGGGGCTGGCCATCACAGGATCCCCACTGTCCTGGGCACAGCTTCCTTTCCACGGGGCCCTGGCAGAGGCAGCGGTGCCCGGATTCCAGGTCTTTAGAGATGTAATCATGGCACGGGGTTCAATGACCCACAGGCTCCTGGGGACCTGAGGACAAGGAGAGGAAAGGATGGAGCAGGGGTGGGCAGCCTGGCTTCCCAGGAAGAGGCAGTCCGGCCCCGAGGTAGCTGCGTCCAAGAGGCTGGCGTCAGAACTGTCGAGTTCTTTAAAAATGTCCACACAGAAGAGCCTTCTGGGTGAGGGTCTGGGGACATGTCACCTGATCTGGGGAAAGAGAACAGCTGAAACAGAGCTTCCCCTCAGCTGGGTCTCTCCCAACCAAACAACGAGCAGCGGGGGTCTGGGATTTAGTCCAGGCTCCTGTCCCTGAGCAGGGGGCCCTTCCTCGGTCACTGCCTGCTCTTTGGTCCTCATTTCCTCAGCTATAAAGTGAAGGGGTCAGACTAGACAGTCCCTCCAAAGGGCTCAGAGGGAACAGGGGGTAAACCAGTCAGTTAATTAACATGAAACCATCTTCATTACCCTGGTTAAAGTGGACTCAACCCAGGGTGATCGCTTGGGAAAAAAGAAAACCTGTTAGAAAATATGCCCTGTCAGTCTCTGACTTTCCTGTGCCTCAGTTTCTCCACCATGATGCCTGTCGGTGTGTAGGCATGCTTAAATATACACAAACATGTTCCTGAAAAAAATATAGCAACTAACATTTCAATAGTCCTTTAAGTTTCACTCAGCCAATCAGTCAATAAGCATTCATTAAGCACCTACTATGTGCCAGTAACTCTATTAAGTGTTGCGAATACACAAAAAGAAAAGAGCACAATAAATCTGACCCTGATGGGAAGGAGTCCCAAGAACATGGGCCCGAGAGTCATGGGACCCTAGAACATGGCAGCCTAGGCCAGATGGGGAAGTGAACCAGCCGTCAGTTGGCTGGCATGGGGTTGGGAGTGGTGAGATGCCCGTCCACCAAAGGGAGGAATCTCAACCCACTCCCAAGATGTTGGAGCCTGGGGCATAACCTCATTTGTCTGATGCAGGTTTTCATCCTCCCTCCACTTCTTCAACCCTTCAATAAATTTCAACATGAGTTCTCCTTCCATTGGTACAAATTACAACCCATCTACCTTTCTTCATTCTAGGTGACTCTTGTCCACATCTCTCCCAGGAATCATCCGCAAAGGGATTTACCCAGAATGCTGAGTGCCTTCCTCCAGGTCTCTTAGTATCACTCAGGTACCAACACATCCTGCAATCTGCCAAGCTGATAGCCCTGGCTCATGCCACACGACTAGTCCCTCTCCTTTCCTAATGAAGTGCTCTGAAGCTACCTTTCACATTGCTTCTTGAACTCAAGTAGTCAATGGGAATATGCATAAATCAGCTCTGTTCCCCACTTCATCTCCCCATTCTGGGTAACCACAAGCTTGATTCTTCAGAGACTGGGGCATTCTGGGATTCACAGCATCCAGCACTGGAAGACTAGCATGGTTTCTAAGATGTGTTTTTTGTTTCAGGGAGAAGCTGAGGAATCAATACAAGAACTGGGCAGTTTTGCAAAGACAACCTGGCCCATTCTTCTCGTCCTATTCAATTCTGTGTCTAACTCACCATGGAGTTGTATTCCTGTCCAATCTAATCCAATGCAACAAACAGATATGAATTACTGGATAAAGACAGAACTCCGTGCTGGGCACTGGTGAGACAAACGCTCAACAAAAACCAAACCCCTGCTTTGCTGGATCTTTATGTGTGTGTGTGTGTGTGTATGTATTCAAATGATCCAGTTCAATGTGGCATATATCATAGGCTGAATTCTTCTCTTGGTGGTTTTTTTCCCCATGCGGATCATTATGCCAAACCCTTTTGAATTACTGTGAATCCCATACAAGAGGCTGAAAAATGTTGTAAGGTTTGATGCAAACCACACATCTGGAACACCTCACTGTGGATAGCAGTCCTTCTTAAGCTGGGACCCATTCATACTTCTAGAAATGCCTGTACAGTATTGTTTGCAGAGGTTTACACATTCTCTTCATATATTTTCCTTAAGGATACCTTTGACACATATGTAAATTATTCTCATAAAGATTTTATAGAGACAACAAAGTAAGCATATGGGCTGGTAGTGATTAATGTCCTCTTGGCAGCCTTTTTTGGTCATGATTCAGTAGGGTTTTCCCCCTAAAATGTTTGGCATCTTCCCCTCTTTCCCATAACTTGAGAATGGATATAGTTGCTTGTCCCATCTTTCTTTTCTTCCATGTAATTTCTGCTTTTCAGGAAGCACGTTGGGAGGCCATGACATTGGGGCCCAATTGGATCCTGTCACTCCTATCACTGATGGAGAAACTGGTATATTCCATGACATCCACATCTGTTTTGTTGGTCATCTGTTTGCTGTCCTCTTTTCAGCTTCATCTTTAAATGTTCTTGAGATGACCAGGCTTCATTGAGTCTCATATCCAGTTTTCTGCAAATTCAGTTTTTCCCCCTCCATTTCTTCTCTTTCCCTCTATTTCATGAGGTGATGCTGCTCAAGACATTCTATCATTGTCCTCTGGAAGAATTACTGATCTTTGCCCACACAGCAGCTAAAATCACCTTATGAGGTTACTGCTCAATTGAAAACCTTCAATGGCTACCTATTATTGCCTCAAGATAAAATGCAAAGCTATGTGTTCGTTGTGAGGATCAAATGAGATAATATTTGTAAAGAGCTTACCACAGTAACTGGCACAGGTGCTATATAGACACTAGCTAATATTATTATTAACCTGTCAGACAAATGTAATGGGGTTTCCACAATGGAGCATACCCAGAGCTGCCTTGCCTACTTTTGTAGTCATGGATGCTGGTTGAGCACCGAAGACTTTGGAATGACAAGTCAATCTCCTCATTGGCTGAAGGAAGGGCTGCTGGATTGCTGGATTATGGAGTTGTATCTGATTCTTCATGACGCTGTGGACCATACGATATATCCAATGGGTTTTCTTGGCAAAGATACTAGAGTGGTTTGCCATTTCCTTCTCCAGTGGATTAAGGCAAATAGAGGTTAAGTGACTTGCCCAAGGTCACACAGCTAGTGTCTGAGGCTGGATTTGAACTCAGGTCTTCCTGATTCTCGGTCCAGTTTTCTATCCACTGAGCCACCTAGCTGCCTGCTGGATTACTGGATCCGTAGATCATGTCAGGACTGTTCAAAATTCTCCTGAGAAGGGTAGAGGAGAGGGGCTACCCTTCCCCCAACAAAGCAGCATGTAGAAGGCTTCCAAAAGGTAGCCAGAGTAGGCTAAGCATGCTAAGCCTGAGACTTGGGGACCCTGGCTACATTTGTCACCATAAGCTTCCTTCCCTAAGCATATATGAGAGAACAGTATGGAGGTATCCAGCTCTGGAGGTAAGCTGGTAAATTCAAGAGTTCTAGATGTACTGAGTATCTTGGTTGACACTGACTATCTTCAAGGGAGTTTCTTCAGCAGAAAGAATGAATTCCAACAGGGGGAGGAGCTCAATGCCTGGCCTGACTTGCCATATGACATAGAACTGGAACCAACTGTTTGAACAGTGCAAAGTCAAGGTGAAATGTAAAATGCCTACTCACCAGTCCTACAAACTGCAACATGTCTTGGTGTTCTATGTATCACTTTCCCAAGAAAGTATGAGTAGTTATAAATCACTATATCCTGTTTTAAGTCTCTGTCAAGGCACACCTGTGAGTTTCTGTTTTTAGCATTTCTTTAGTGTAGAATAAATAAGTAGCTGTCCCATATCAGATTCATATTGTACACCAAGTACCTCTCTATACCTCCCTCTTAGGGGGAGACCCTCAACACAAGCCAAACCTAAGCTTTAAGTCATTTTCACTGGACTCTGAGATGAATCTATAAAGAACCAAAAAGTGTGAGAAAAGAGCTTAATCCCTCTCATTACAGACCAAGCAACCCCAGACTGAATCCAATCCTCATCTGTCTGGGACCAGAGCTGAAAGGGGCCTCTTTAGGGGAGAGGGAGAAGGTGCAGGGTCTGAACTCCCCTGACTCAGCAGCTCTTATTACTGTTGGATGAGAATTTAAGGCCCTCCATATTCTGGCTCTATCTTGCCTTTCTAGCCTTATTTCACATTAATGCCCTTTTCACATTCCCTATTTCATCCAAATTAGACTATGTGCTGTTCACCAAATTTGTCATTTCATCGTCTGCCCCCATGCCAAGCCTTCCCCATACCTGGTAGAAGCCATTATGTCAGCCCCACAAGTGACATGAGGGTTCAGTAACTTCATCAGCCTCTCTCTCCCAGAAGTCCATTTCATCTTAAGGACACTTGGGCACTCTGGGTAGTATGCCCCAGGTCAACTCCAAGGCCCCTAGGACCCTGGGAATTGTGGGAAGTCTTCCTAACCACCAGGCAGTTGCTTCCTGAATTCTGAGTTTCCATGGCAATGCCTATGGATGTGGTAAGGTGGGTTCCATTGTGATGACTCACCTCAGAATTCTTAGCTTTTTTTTTAAGCCTCAGCTCAGGTGCCACCTCCTCCAGGAAGCCACCTCTGATTCTCTCAGTTGTGCTCTCAAATTAACTTGTATTGACACTATATTTAACATCACCCTAGTAGAATGCAGGAAAGGGGCCATCTTATTTTTGCCTCTGCATCTCCTCAGTCTAACAGATGAAAAGCTGGAGTTTAATAAATATTGGCTTACACAAAGTCAGAGCTCAAGAAATGTTGAATTGAATCAAACCAAGGGAAAGGAATAGCCAAGAAGCCAAGGGAAGGGAAAGAAGAAGGGGACCAGTGGGACAGCTCAGGTAAAGAGAGGGTTGGACCAGGACAGTGGTGTCAAACCCAAATAGAATGGGAGCCACTAACCTGCAAATCTGGATCCCTTCGGGCACAGATTGACTCAGAAAACTACAGATTCACATTATCTACGTTTTATTGTATTTTTTTGTTGTTAAGTATTTCTCAATTACATTTTAATCTGGTTTGGCTGTGCTTGAGTTTTCACAGCCAATGTGACCTGGGCCATTTATTTGATACCTCTGAGATTCCTTCCAACTCTCGAGCTGTGATCCCGGGTCACACTCTAATTAAATATCAGGTTTTCCACTCAATACACAAGCTGACTAGAAAGGAATGAAAGAAGGGGAGGGAATTGGCATTTATTAAGCACCTACTATGTGTTAAGCAATGTGCTAAGTGCTTTACAAATATTCCCATTTGATCCTCACAACAACCCTTCCAGGTAGATGCTTTTTATATCTCCATTTTACAGTTGGGGAAACTGAGGCAGACAGAAGGGATGTGACTTGCCCAGGATCACTGAGCTAGTAAATGTCTGAGACTAGATTTGAACTCTGGTCTTTCTGACTCTGGACCCAGTGCTCAATCCATGTAGCTGTCACTTTACAATCATCTGGTTGTGTGACATTGGGTAAGTCATTCCTCCTCTATAAAATTAGAGTAAGAATTGGAATGATAACAAATCCCGGGTTGCTGTGAGGCTCAGATGGGTTCGTATATGTGAATGTGCTCTGAAAAGCTCAGGATACTACTGAAATACATCATCGAGAAGAGAGAAGACTATTAACACACACACACACACACACACACACACACACACACACACACACA